TTTTTGGATAATAATATGTGAAATCAAGTGCTTTGTTTCTATTATTAGTCGCGTCAAAGTAGGACTAAAAACGCAGAAACTTCGTACTTTGGTCGGAAAGGTCCGATTGGGCTATTTTTTCTACAAAATCTAGATGCCGCTCAGCCTCCCTCCCGCCCCAAATTCACCCCAATGGGGGGGGGGGGGGGGGGGAATTCTCGGCTTTTTTCAACAAGCCACATACTTGCTAAAACTGCAGTCCCAAGCGGGGCAAATGTTCCACTCGGAGGGGGGTTTGAAGTGCCCTGAATCCTTTATTTGGGTTAGGTCGCCTTTGCGATCAAAATTCAATCCCGCGTGATCATGATATTTGAGACCCCATCGGCCCCTTTTTATACGACCCTGAGGGCAAAAGGCTTAATTCTCGATGACATCGAGATGTCCGCCCTTCTAAACTCCTCTAGCGCAATTTGGAAGTCCAAATACATTTCCACGGACATCCAGTATATTGGACCCCCAGTGGTCCTGTCACCCACCCCTTGGAAGGTCGCAAAGGCGACCTGACCCTCAATTGGGGTGAATTTGGGGGGAGGGAGGCCGAGCGGCATCTAGATTTTAGTGAACTTTGAATCTCATGTCTCAATGAACATTTTGCAAAAAAAATAGCCCAATTGGACCTTTCCGACCAAAGTTCGAAGTGAAAACCTACTTTGACGCGACTATATAAATATTTTCAGCATTTTACATCGGTCTTTGTCAAAATAGAATTTATAATAGTTATTCTTCATAGATTTAATAGAATTAGTTTGTTTTCGTAAGTTTTATATTGTTGTTTAATTTTCAAATTATTAAAGGATATATGTATTTCCAAAAAATGGGTACTTAATGAAAAGATAAATCCCTAAAACTACAGTAAGATAGAGCTGCGAGCAAAAGACTAACTCTTATAATGAGACCTACTTTTTCCAACTGTTATCGCTTTTGTCTTAAGGTAAATATAATGCAGAAACAACTTGAAAAACAAAAAATACAATCAACCGCATACCGTATAATAAACCCATACCTAAATGAGACATTACAAACATCAATTTAGGTAGAAATCAACAATCAAGTTGCATTTGTTCGATCGGTATTCAGCATTCCTAATTTTCCGGGAAATTACATATTCCAAGCAGCGACCTAAAGTACTACCTTAAAAAGTAGTACCTACTTCGGTTAAATCGTATTCTTGATCTCGTGGGAATCGACCAAAGACGCGGCGGAACTTCATTGCAATATTAATTATTTAAATGGGAAAAATGCGCGTTCTGTATAAGGTTGGAGACGCACTCACTACGGATTTTCAGCACACCAGGTGAAAATTGGACCCTCACAAATCCTTACTATGACTAGGATCCATAGATAAAATAAAAAACAATTTATTTCCTAAATATGCAAATACAAATCGCAAACAAAAATATTAAACTCAATATCTTAGCATTTGTGAGAACATTTAAACAAAGTGAATTTGTTATAGATGCCATTTTGTTCAATACACTGGACGCTCCCCCATCCTGTGCGTTTAGACCACCGTTGGTGCCCCCCACAGAAGTTTGGGGGCGCCCCAAAAAAGCCCACGTTACGCCACTGTGTTTATACATAGAATAAAGTTCATTAAAATGAAGACATTATATTTGGGCGAAGATCTGGATTTCGACCATCAAGTGGCGACAGAAATTCAATTAGATGACCAAGCTATATTTTTTGTTTTTTAAAAAATATGCAGTACAAATTTAATTTAAAACAAATACCACTTTAAACACTTTCATAATAGTTATTATAAACTTCCTGTCACTTCATCTTGACTAAATATAAATATAACTTAGTACAATAAAAATGTTTAATGTTATTAATTTTATTATCTATAAGGGTACCAAGATTATTACAGTAATAAAATGAAGAATTTTACAATCGGATGGGCATATAAAAAAAATTACTAATTTGCCAAATAACAAATTTGCTTACCCGACAAATGAATATTACAGTAAATAAAGCTCTTACGATGATGTCATGATTTTAAAATAAATTTTATTATTCATTGTAAATTTTCCATGTTCCGATATAGTAAATATTTAATTTCGTGTAATAAAACATGTCAATATTTTGATACTAAGTTTGTAAATGTTTATTTTGATAACAAGCGAAATGCGAAACAGTATGATGCCCAAATTCCCAGAGTTAAAACAATGTTTAAATATGTATGAACGAAATTATTGGGGTTTGGTTATTAATGTAATCTGAAAAATGCTCCGGGGATAGCGAATTTGATGTTTTGATTTGAAGAGAATATATATTTTCTGCTCTCTTCCGTAATTGTCGATCTGATAATCGCTGTCTTTTAAAGTGGGACTGATTTTGAGTTATTTTTTAGCTTTAAGATATCCCCATTTGAGCAGTTAGATACCCTTCTTCAGTTACAGAGTAGAATAAGAAAATAAGAAAATCTAAGAATACAATAAGGTGTTTTTTTATAAAATTGTCTTCATTGCTACGCTTTCGAATTACCCTGTAATACTGAGACAATACGCATGTCCCTACACTTAACAAGGTCTTAATAAACAACATACCAAATTTGATTTCCATTAAAAAAGAGTTACTAAGTTTAAAAATTAAAATAGATAATTTATAGTTAGGATTATTTGTTTATAAAATGAATATTACAGATATGTATCGACATTAAAAACGATCTTATTTAATTCGCTGGATCAATATATTTTTTATATATAACCCGATTATACTTACAATACCATGTCTAGATCAAACTTTTCTTTATATCTATCGCAATATATCTGATGTATATGATTTCATAATTAATATACCGCTTCTAATTATTGCTTTTAATTAGTAATTAATTAAAATGTTATTAGATGAGCTATTTATTATTCAATACAATTTATACCACCCACCTATTTGACCCAGAAAACATACGTCAAAATTAATGGGCCTGAGAAAATCGTTTAACAATTCTTCATTAATAGAACATAAAAGTTTTTTTTTTAACAAAAATAACGCGACTATTTAATAAATACAAATTTATTAATAACACATTGCCTCTATGCAGAATACTTCACAAAGAACAACTTTTTTTTGATAAAACTAATAACAAAAATGTTTCCTGTAAATGTGATTTCAACATAATTTGGGTCCATTGGCTGGTATGTCTTGAGAGAGAGATAGAGAGAGAGAGAGAGAAAGAGAGAGAGTACACCGACAGCATGCATATAAATAATTCTAAACATCCTACCCCTTCATCTGGAACCCTCTAGGAAACAACAATACCACCAAATCTCACTCCTACTAATCTTCAACAGACTCTTCCAAATCCATTGCAACTAGAACTAAATAAGTCAAAATAAGAATATTTGCTTGGATCCAACATTGTGGGATTGCTAATAAAACATTACTTGTTAAGCTGTGTTAATACTATGGGATAACACAATGATCCCACGACGTGTAGACTGTGCAAGGTAGAGAAAGAAGTTATCTTCGAATACGAAGCTCTAGCTAGGAAGTAACATAATCTTTTCAGATAGCAATGTAAAAAAATGACATCTAAGAATTAAGATTACCTGAAATGTTCATTATGTACCATTTATCTTTCAAATATGCAAGAATGTATCCGTCTGTATTTCATCTTTTGAATTTTCCAAAAATACCTTTTTTACAGACATTCCTTGAAACACACACAAAAAAGGTTTATAAACATCAGCGTAAAGTAATCCAAACAAAATTAGAGTCAGTTTTCGGGTATTTATTTTCTTATTTCATCTCGCATTGAAGATAGACTTTCGTCACTTCATAACTTTGGAATTACTCAAGCGTTGTAAGAAAAAGTATTTAGAGGTAAACGATTTCTATTAAAAGAGCTCGGAAACTTTTAGAAAACTACCTATTTCATTCAGTTTCATAAAAATCATGATTCTTATACTTTCCTTATTTGCATAAAGAGATAGTTTAAAAAATTTAGAGCAGAAAAAAATGGAAGAGAACAGAAAGCAGAGTACCAAAGGGAGCGGAGTAACAAAGATTAAAGGATAAAATTAATTTTACTATTTTGGTATTCATATATAGTTTTGAAACCGAACCACTTGTTGATATTGTTGCTATATTGATTGGAACTGTATTTTTTTTATATCAGCACTTATTACTTCGTCCTCGTATTCCAACCACGGACCCTTTGATGAAAAATGGGTAATGACTGCGGCATTCAAAATAATGTGAAATTTACGAGTGTAAATCGAACACCTGAATATGGCAATAAATCGCTGCAGAAGCCGCGGGTTCTTGTATACGACCGCGACGGACTGATCCTATCGGGGAAGATTGATTAACAGAAAAAATCATGAATAAAACTGAAAGCCAGTAGAGGTATCAAATATCGCGAAAGTGCATTACCTAAATATACAAAAAAAAAGAAATATCTACATTTAATAGAGTCTATTCTGTATACGGATTTCTTTAAAAGGTTGGTGAATGCACTTTTAACTTTTGATAGAAAGTAAAATGACGGTTTATCATGTAATTGGAGACTTTTTATCGAAGAATTACTGGGAGATGAAGAAAGATATGAGGTACATAACCAATGGCGGCTGGTGGTAATTTAAAATGGGTGTTCTAACCTCGACACTATCGCTCGTCGACGTGTTTTATTCTTGTCAAAAATTAATCGTTTTCCACCCGGATATTTATATTTTTCCACTAATTTTCTTAATTTGACCTCTACCGTTTCGGTTTATACTTTAAAAGTAAACATAGGATAGTCATATTACTTTTTAACAAGTTTAACTCCAAATTATCGAGAATTAAAAAGCAAACATCTCTCCGCACCCACGCCAAACGCCAATCGGCGCCGTATGTACCGTTTTTCTCTTTATTTAACGATTTATTACGATAGTTCCAGCAAATATTGGTCGTTAACTGAGTAAAAATCCAATAGGTTTGGTCAGTATGCAAATCGCTAATTACTGTGTTTTTTTTTACAGCACGCTCACGATGAATCGCTGAAAAACGGCCATGACGTGAATAAGGTGAGTCTTAATTAGTTTTTTAAATGCCGATTCTTCTTAATTATATATTTTTTTCTTTTGTACTTGTACAAAGAATCGAAAAATTGATTGTGATACTGGTTTTATATGAAGAAAATAACACCAGCAAAATATAAATTATGTAAAAAACACAGAAATATTAAAAGAATTGTATACTTTGATCAGCCCTGGGCAACTATAATACTAGAAACTGGATTCATAGCAAATAAAGAATATTTAAGAAAAATAGTAGGGTACAAGAAAGACATAAGCCACTTAATCCTACTTTTGTTGATAGGGATATATTCACAATTATTGTATTTTGTTTCTCTCCTTTTATCTATCTCTCTTTCTCACTTTTTCTCTCTCTTCACAATCCTCACCCTCCCCACTTTCCTATTTTTGCTACTTCTCTGTTCTTAACTATTGTCCTGAATGTTTTTAGAAAAAGTTTTAACTAAAACTGTATAGCAAATGACATTTTCAGTTTCCCATGTGAATGTACGTTCTCTAATACCACATCTTAATGATTTCAAAAACTATGTTGCTAATACGGACAGCGATGTCGTAGGGGTAACCAAAACTTGGTTGCTGCCTTGTTAAGAAAAAATGTATTAATATTTCTAGTATTATAATTGAGAAAATTAAATTAAATATTATGCAGTAGGACGGTCCCTTTTAAGCATCCAACAGTAGTCGGCCATCATTTTGATATCTCAGCGCCCTTGATATCGCCGTTCCATCTCTTTTATGTCCTGGTGAAAGCGCTCCCCTTGATTTTCACTGACATCGCCAAGATTATCCGGAAAATAGTCAAGATGAGCATGTAGAAAATGAATTTTTAAGCTCATGTTACAGCCTAACTTTCTAAATTTATCCAACATGTCTTTCCTAGAAATTTATTTATAACTTGTTTAAAAGCTGTCCATGTTTCTTTTTCGTCTTCTTGCATAATCGTCTCAATTTTATTAGTTTTCATCAACCTTATTTGTGGCCCAACAAAGATGCCTTCTTTTAATTTAGCTTCAGAGAGACCCGGAATTGTTTCACACAAGTACTTAAAGCAACCACCATTTTTTTCTAGAGCTTTGACAAATTGTTTCATCAGCTCCAATTTTATATGTAGAGGGGGTAATAAAATTTTCTCGGGATCAACTAGGCTTTCCCGAATTACGTTTTTGGAGCCAGGCGTAAATTTTTTTCTTGGTGGCCATTTTTTTTTTGGTCCAGTGGTCATCTCTGGCTCTACTGTCCCACTCACATAGGAAACATGGGTATTTCGTATATCCGGATTGTTGACCTAAAAGCAACCCTAAAATTTTAAGGTCACCACATATAATCCAGTTATGTTGTCTGTAGTTTATTCTTAAAAGCAGTTCCTCAAGATTTTCGTAATTTTCTTTTAGTTGAGTAGAATGACCAACAGGACCAGATGCATATAAATTGCCATTATGAAGTAGACTTCTCCTTGAAGAGTCTATAAAAAGTCTCTACTCGTCAGGATTGTATTCAGGAGCACCTAGGTGAATAACCAAGTCAGATACATTTTGACAATATACAAGTGAACCAGCTGCGGTAAATTCAGCCTCACGATTTCTATACCAATAAAATGTTGTACCTGGAGCAAGTAATTTTTTTCTTTAAGCCTTGATCCTAAAACCTCAAAGATGTCTTTTGGAAGTCCCAAATCCCTGACTAAGTCATTCAGTTCCACTTGAGAAAATAGCTGCGGTTCACGGGTTCCTGAGGTAGATGGCTCAAAAATGTAAATTTCTGAATCTGTTGAAGATTCTGATTCGATAGACTGTAATACTTTAGGTGGAACAGGAACAGGTATATCAGCGTCATGTGGAACTGGTCTTATTGCAAATGAAAGATTAGGATAGTTAATATACTTTAGAGATTTTGTGTTATGACCTTTAATATCACAAAGACAAAAATAGCAGTCGTCAATGTGATTTTTAGGTTCTCTCCATACCATTGGTATTCCAAACGGTAGGGCTTTTCTTGTTCCTTTAAACCAATGCTTCAAGGCTTCTTCGCAAATCTGTGGCGCCCAAGGTTTATCTTGATCTCCAAGTCTGACTTTAAAATATGCAAAATTTGCATTTTTTACGAAATCAGTAATGTTTTTTTATACTTCTTCACTATAAAGTGTCCACAAATATAACAAAAGTCATCAGGCCTATTTTTACAACACCTACTAGACATTGTTTTAATTGAAAGTGCACAACGAAACACCGATAGAATTCGATAGACAACGCCTGTCTCAATACCACGGGGATACTAAATATATCGCCCTCTTTCCTGAATAAATCGAGTCTCGGGGAATCCCTAACAATATTCTAGTAAGTACCGGTAAATCCCCCTGCAAATGCGCAAATTAAAACGAGGTTTTAACGTGTCTGAACGTTTTGAACAAAAATAAGGAATTCAAATTAATTTGTTTGTGATGTTCAGGGATAATACCCTTGATACAAAAAAAGTTTACGTGATAGAATAAAAAGGGGGTTATTTTAGCTATATAGAAGTTGTAAATAGGTGAAAAAAATAAAATGGCTAGATCACAAAATTTTCGCGAGCCTGTGTTATCGATAGTATGTTGAAATCACTTTATTTGTGGTAAACATTTATGTTATTTAGAAAAATATGAAGAAATTTAGTGCAAAATAAATTTAGTAGTAACACCCTGTCTCTGGGAGGTACGTAAACACAACAAATATAATATTTCGCGGTTGGGTATTACGGTGACCCAAACATCCTCAGCCTTAGAGGTCCAGGAATCCTTAGAGAAACTAAAAATTTCTTTTGACACTGCTGTTAAAACACCTCCACTACACAATTTGTTTGAAGAGCTTGATTCCCTATTGCGATTTTATATTTTGTATGATGTAGAAATTTATTCATTAGATATTGATGCTGAAAGCCAAGTTTCCGTTAAACAAATTATATCACTTTCGGAATTTAATAGATTTTGATTCAGCACATTAATTTTGGTATTGAGATCTCTAACATTTTGGTAAAAAATTGAAATTAATGATTCTTTGTCTTTATCCATAGCGAGAAGTAGAAAAAAATGTTTATTGACACTGTTAACCACCCACAATTGTTGGAGACTTTGAAGGATTCAGGAATAAGAACATTAGAACTCTTAAAAAATTATTTGTCTGATAGAGAACAGAAGGTAACAGTTGAAACTAAATTATGTGCAAGTCATACAGTTAAATTTGGAAGACCCCAAGGAACAGTGTTGGGTCCTTTACTATTTTCAATTTATCTAAATAATATTTTCACTATTGATAGTCTAGGTATTATCATTAGTTTTGCAGACAACACGGTGGTATTTATGAATGTCTGTTATTTTAAAAATTTTAAATTGTTTGTTTTATTAAATTTTGACTGCACCAGAAGATGGAAAAATTTTTTTTCGAAAAATATGTAGTGCTCGTGCGTAAATGATTGAAAATAGAAACCAAGGATATTTTAATTTACATAAAATTGTGCTATGGTCAGAAAATTATCCTCATTCATATAATAATTAGATTGACATCGTCCAAATTATCTCTAATAGAAAAATTTCATGGACGATATCCAATCGGATTTAGATGTTCGACGCTAGACATGTTTTCTATTATCTGTGATGCAAAAACAACAAAGCTAGACAGTTATGAGACAACGGATGATATGATGATTGACGTGTTATTTTGCTAATATCAAAGTAGCCTTGATTGGCTTCACTTTAGACTAAACTAACACAACTGCAATTTCCAACTAAATGTATAAAAATCATGATTAATTATTTTAAAGTAATCAACAAATGCATGAAATAGCAAAAATAAAATCTCGATATAGAAGCTATATTATGGGATATCATAATATGTTGTAATTTATTATTTTTGATAGTTTTATATTGAAACACAATTTTATATCGAACAAAGCTGATATAAGATGTTTAATGTGGAACTATCGGAGAATTCTGTGTAGTTTTTTATGAAAAACACTTAACTTTTATTAGCAATTGACACCGTTGACTCAAGGGTTATTTTGACAACATTTAGACATTTTTAGAGAAGTTTACACCCATTCATTGAATAGATTTCCACGCAGAAGACATTTATGTGAAGAAACTAGACACATATTTTGTAAGACAGAATAATCAAGCTTTTCTAGTGGGAATAGATCCTCATTTTCAGGAGCAAGTATATAAATAAGATTTTTGGTCGAAAAATATAAATTATTCCCGATTCAACTTTAAACAAGGTCAGCGATTTCTTGAAGATTCACAAAACCAGAGATCGCATAAGAGTGAAGAACATTTTTCAAACCTAGCCTCTACTTCAAACCTAATAAAATAGGGACCTCAAGGACTACTATGGAAAACCACTTTTTGAAAGAAAATAATTAATTACTATTTTGCAGTTCCCAACAGTTAAATATTACTTTAATGCATATCAATATACAGGGAGGTTTCGCCAATAAATGCTTTAATCTAAACTTAATTTTACAGAAACAAAATGTAAGTATTCTGTGTTACTGAACATTGGCTTGATTCTAACAATTTACAAGCTACCTCAATTGACGATTTTAAGCTAGTATCATATTTTTCAGTGATAAATAAAGAAAAAGGTGGTGTTAGTATATTTATGAAAACAAGTATTACTGCAAATTTTGAATCAATTAATTTACATAGGTGGTGTATAGAAGGTGAATTTGAAGTATGTGGTGGAAAAATAAAGATCGATTCTAAACTTTTTTTATTTATTATTACTGTGTATAAGCCACCTTGTAATAAGTTTAGCACTTTTATAAATCAGCTAGAGCTATTAATTCATAATATTTATCAAAACGACAATCACTATTTTATCTGTGGTGATATTAACGTAAATTTTTTGACTGAAGGTAATAAAAAACTGTTTTAATTGACTTATTGAAGGAATTTAATATTAAACATCATATAAATATTGCAACGAGAACAATAAGTACAACCTCAACTTGTTTAGATA